CCCTGCGTGTCTCCTAGCTGGGGTGGGCATGTCCCCACATGTCCCCAGGTGTCCCCAGGTGTCCCCACATGTCCCCAGGTGTCCCCAGGTGTCCCCACGTGTCTCCGCGGGCGCGGCCCTACCGGGGTCCAGCCAGGCGCGCGGCCGCCGGGGCCGGACGCTGTAGGCGGCCGTGGCCACGAAGTCGCCGCCGTCGGCCACCAAGAGACTCCGGGGGGACAGGAGCCGGTCCAGGGCCAGCAGCAGCGCCAGCGGGTTCAGGTGACGTGGCGGGGACACGGCGGCCATGGCCCTGTGGGGACAGGTGACACAGGGACAGGGACAGTGACAGGTGACACAGGGACAGTGACAGGGACAGTGACAGGTGACACAGGGACAGGAGCCGGTCCAGGGCCAGCAGCAGAGCCAGCGGGTTCAGGTGACATGGTGGGGACACGGCGGCCATGGCCCTGTGGGGACAGGGACAGTGACACGGGGACAGGGACAGGGACAGGTGACACGGGGACAGGGACAGGTGACACGGGGACAGGGACAGGTGACACGGGGACAGGGACAGGTGACACGGCGGCCATGGCCCTGTGGGGACAGGTGACACAGGGACAGGGACAGGTGACATGGTGGCCATGGCCCTGTGGGGACAGGGACAGTGACACAGGGACAGGGACAGGGACAGGGCCAGCGGGTTCAGGTGACGCGGCGGGGACACGGCGGCCATGGCCCTGCGGGGACAGGGACAGTGACACGGGGACAGGGACAGTGACAGGTGACACGGGGACAGGGACAGGGCCAGCGGGTTCAGGTGACACGGCGGGGACACGGCGGCCATGGCCCTGCGGGGACAGGTGACACAGGGACAGGGACAGGTGACATGGTGGCCATGGCCCTGTGGGGACACAGATAGGGACAGGGGAGAGGGACAGGTGACATGGTGGCCATGGCCCTGTGGGGACAGGGACAGTGACACAGGGACAGGGACAGGGCCAGCGGGTTCAGGTTACGCGGCGGGGACACGGCGGCCATGGCCCTGCGGGGACAGGGACAGTGACACAGGGACAGGGACAGGGCCAGTGGGTTCAGGTTACGCGGCGGGGACACGGCGGCCATGGCCCTGCGGGGACAGGGACAGGGACAGGGGAGAGGGACAGGTGACATGGTGGCCATGGCCCTGTGGGGACAGGGACACAGGTGACAGGGACAGGGATGGGACAGGGACACAGAGGGGACACGGCGGCCATGGCCCTGCGGGGACAGGGACAGGTGACACTGGGACAGGGATGGGACAGGGACAAGGACAGGGACAGGGATGGGACAGGGACACAGAGGGGACACGGCGGCCATGGCCCTGCGGGGACAGGGACAGGTGACACAGGGACAGGGACAGAGGGGACAAGGACAGGGGGACTGACCAACCCCAAAAACCGGGGAAGGACCCTAAAAATGCCACATGGGGGGGTCTGAGCCCAGAAATGCCCTCTGTCCTCGGACCAGTTCTGCAGATCCTTGTCCCTGTCCCCACCCTGTCCCCTCTGTCCCCGTTCCAGTGTCCCGTGTCCCATGTCCCCATGTCCCAGTGTCCCCTCGGTGTCCCCTCGATGTCCCGGTGTCTCGTTGGTGTCCCCATGTCCTCTGTGGGGTCCCCTTGGTATCCCACGTCCCCTCGGTGTCCCCTGTCCCTGTCCCAGTGTCACCTGTCCCCCTGTCCCCATGTCCCCATCCCTGTCCCCATCCCTGTCCCCATGTTCCCATGTCCCCATGTCCCCATGTCCCCATCCCTGTCCCCATCCCTGTCCCCATCCCTGTTCCCATGTTCCCATGTCCCCAAGCTGTCCCCGTGTCCCTGTCCCCATGTCCCCCTGTCCCCCTGTCCCCATGTCCCCATCCATGTCCCCATGTCCCCATCCCTGTCCCCATGTCCCCATCCCTGTCCCAGTGTCCCCATGCTGTCCCCGTGTCCCTGTCCTGGTCCCTCACCGGATGTGCCGTTCCCTGTTCCCATGTCCCCATGTCCATGTCCATGTCCCCGTGTCCTCCCGGTGTCCCCTCAGTGTCCCCGTGTCCCCTCGGTGTCCCGGTGTCCCCCTGGTGTCCCTGTCCCTCACCAGATGTGCCGTTCCCTGTCCCCATGTCCCCATGTCCATGTCCCCATGTCCCCCCAGTGTCCCCAGGATGTCCCCATGTCCCCAGGCTGTCCCGGTGTCCCCCCGGTGTCGCGGTCCCTCACCGGATGTGCCGCTCCCTGTCCCCATGTCCCCAGTGTCCCCAGGCTGTCCCCATGTCCCCAGGCTGTCCCGGTGTCCCCTTGGTGTCCCCATGTCCCCTTGGTGTCCCCCCGGTGTCCCAGTCCCTCACCGGATGTGCCGTTCCCTGTCCCCATGTCCCCATGTCCATGTCCCCATGTCCCCCCCGTGTCCCGGTGTCCCCTTGGTGTCCCTGTCCCTCACCAGATGTGCCGCTCCCTGTCCCCATGTCCCCAGGCTGTCCCAGTGTCCCCCCGGTGTCCCGGTGTCCCGGTCCCTCACTGGATGTGCCGCTCCCTGTCCCCGTGTCCCCAGTGTCCCCAGGCTGTCCCAGTGTCCCCAAGCTGTCCCAGTGTCCCCCCGTGTCCCAGTGTCCCCCTGTGTCCCGGTGTCCCCAGGCTGTCCCCAGTGTCCCCCCGTGTCCAGGTGTCTCGGTGTCCCCTCGGTGTCCCGGTGTCCCTGTCCCTCACCGGATGTGCCGCTCCCTGTCCCCATGTCCCCAGTGTCCCCAGGCTGTCCCCATGTCCCCATGTCCCCAAGCTGTCCCGGTGTCCCCTCGGTGTCCCGGTGTCCCGGTCCCTCACCGGATGTGCCGCTCCCTGTCCCCATGTCCCCAGTGTCCCCAGGCTGTCCCAGTGTCCCCCTGTGTCCCGGTGTCCCCCCGGTGTCCCCAGGCTGTCCTGGTGTCCCCTCGGTGTCCCCCCGGTGTCCCGGTGTCCCCCCGGTGTCCCGGTGTCCCCTCGGTGTCCCGGTGTCCCGGTGTCCCTGTCCCTCACCGGATGTGCCGCTCCCTGTCCCCATGTCCCCAGTGTCCCCAGGCTGTCCCCATGTCCCCATGTCCCCAGGCTGTCCCGGTGTCCCCTCGGTGTCCCGGTGTCCCGGTGTCCCGGTGTCCCCCCGGTGTCGCGGTCCCTCACCGGATGTGCCGCTCCCGCTCCTCCTCGGCCTCCCGCAGCCGCCGCAGCCACTCCCGGGGGCTCGGCAGGCCCGGCAGGCTCCGGGCCAGCGCCACCAGCAGCGCCGCGGGGTCACCTGCGGACCCCAAATGTCACCGGGGTGTCCCCAAATGTCACCGGGGTGTCCCCAAGTGTCACCGGGGTATCCCCAAGTGTCACCGGGGTGTCCCCAAGTGTCACCGGAGCCCCAAAGTGTCACCGGGACCCCCAAGTGTCACTGGGACCACAAAATGTCACCTGCGGACCCAAAAATGTCACCAGGGTGTCCCGAAAATGTCATCGGGGTGTCCCCAAACTGTCCCCAAACTGCCTCATTCCGACCCCAAACCGGTTCATTCCCACCCCAAACCGGTTAATTCTGACCCCAAACCGGTTAATTCCACCCCAAACCGGTTAATTCTGACCCCAAACCGGTTCATCCTGCCCCAAACCGGTTCATTCCACCCCAAACCGGTTAATTCTGACCCCAAACCAGTTAATTCTGACCCCAAACCGGTTCAATCCAGCCCCGGCGGTGCTCACCGTGCACGGCCAGCCGCGGGGTCCAGAAGATGTTAGGGTCCCGGTTTGACACCAAACCGGCTCATTTCCACCCCAAACCGGCTAATTCTGACCCCAAACCGGTTCATTCCACCCCAAACCGGTTAATTCTGACCCCAAACCAGTTAATTCTGACCCCAAACCGGTTCATTCCATCCCAAACCGGTTAATTCTGACCCCAAACGGGTTAATTCTGACCCCAAACAGGTTCATCCTGCCCCAAACCGGTTCATTCCACCCCAAACCGGTTCATTCCACCCCAAACCGGTTCATTCCACCCCAAACCGGTTCATCCTGCCCCAAACCGGTTAATTCTGACCCCAAACCGGTTAATTCTGACCCCAAACCGGTTAATTCTGACCCCAAACTGGTTCAATCCAGCCCCGGCGGCGCTCACCGTGCACGGCCAGCCGCGGGGTCCAGAAGACGTCGGCGTTGAGGCGCAGCTGCGCCCGGTCCCGGTTGACGGCGACGACGGCGGCGCCGCGGCCGAAGAGGCGCCCGTAGGACAGCCGGAAATCACAGACGGTGCCTGGGGACACCGGGACACCGGGAGCGGTCAGCGGGGACACCGGGGGGACACCGGGACACCGGGAGCGGTCAGCGGGGACACCAGGGGGACACCGAGGGGACACCGAGGGGACACCGGGACACCGGGAGCGGTCAGCGGGGACACCAGGGGGACACCGAGGGGACACCGGGACACCGGGAACGGTCAGTGGGGACACCAAGGGGACACTGGGACACCGGGACATTGGGACACCAGGGGGACACCGGGACACCGGGAGCGGTCAGAGGGGACACCAGGGGGACACCGAGGGGACACGGGGACATTGGGACACCGAGGGGACACTGAGGGGACACCGGGACATTGGGACATCGAGGGGACACTGAGGGGACACCGGGACACCGGGAACGGTCAGTGGGGACACCGAGGGGACACTGGGACACCGGGACATTGGGACACCGGGACATCGGGACACCGGGAGATTGGGACACCGGGACACCGGGACATCAGGACACTGGGACATTGGGGACACCGGGACATTGGGACATCGGGACACCAGGACACCAGGACACCGGAACACTGGGACACTGGGACACAGTGACACCAGGACACCGGGACATCGGGACACCGGGACATTGGGACATTGGGACAGTGGGACATTGGGACACCGGGACATTGGGACATTGGGACATTGGGACAGTGGGACATTGGGACATTGGGACACTGTGTCACCGGGACATTGGGACACCGGGACATTGGGACACCGGAACACCGTGTCACCGGGACATTGGGACATCGGGACACCGGGACATCGGGACACCGGGACATTGGGACATCGGGACACTGGGACATGGGGACATTGGGGACACCGGGACACCGGGACACCGGGACATCGGGACACCGTGTCACCGTGTCACCGCCCGCGGTACCTGCCAGCAGCACCAGGTCGGCGTCGCGCAGCGCCTGCCGCCGGTTGTGCCGCAGCAGCAGGGGACACTCGGGGGGCAGCAGCCCCCGCGCCGCCCCCCCCAGGTAGCACGGGACCCCCAGGGACTGCAGGGCCGAGCTGGGGACAGAGCGGGGGCGCTGGCACCCTTGGGAGCCCGAAATGGCACCCTAGGGACCCTGAAATGGCACCCTTGGGACCCTGAAATGGCACCCTAGGGACCCTAAACTAGCACCCTAGGGAGCCTGAAATGGCACCCTTGGGAGCCCGAAATGGCACCCTAGGGAGCCTGAAATGGCACCCTTGGGAGCCCGAAATGGCACCCTAGGGAGCCTGAAATGGCACCCTAGGGACCCTGAAATGGCACCCTTGGGACCCTGAAATGGCACCCTAGGGACCCTGAAATGGCACCCTTGGGAGCCCGAAATGGCACCCTAGGGACCCTGAAATGGCACCCTAGGGAGCCTGAAATGGCACCCTTGGGACCCCAAACTGGCACCCTGGGGACCCTAAACTAGCACCCTTGGGAGCCTGAAATGACACCCTAGGGAGCCTGAAATGGCACCCTAGGGAGCCCGAAATGGCACCCTTGGGAGCCCAAAATGGCATCCTATGGACTCTAAACTAGCACCCTAGGGATCCTGAAATGGCACCCGTGGGACCCTGAAATGGCACCCTAGGGACCCTGAAATGGCACCCTTGGGAGCCCGAAATGGCACCCTAGGGACCCTGAAATGGCACCCTTGGGACCCTGAAATGGCACCCGTGGGAGCCTGAAATGGCACCCTAGGGACCCTGAAATGGCACCCTTGGGACCCTGAAATGGCACCCTAGGGAGCCCGAAATGGCACCCTAGGGACCCTGAAATGGCATCCTTGGGACCCTGAAATGGCACCCTTGGGACTCTAAACTGGCACCCTTGGGACCCTGAAATGGCACCCTAGGGAGCCCGAAATGGCACCCTAGGGACCCTGAAATGGCACCCTTTTGACCCTGAAATGGCACCCTAGGGAGCCAGAAATGGCACCCTTGGGAGCCCGAAATGGCACCCTTGGGACCCTGAAATGGCACCCTTGGGAGCCCGAAATGGCACCCTAGGGACCCTGAAATGGCATCCTAGGGACCCTGAAATGGCACCCTTGGGAGCCAAAAATGGCACCCTAGGGACCCTGAAATGGCACCCTAGGGAGCCCAAAATGGCACCCTTGGGACCCTGAAATGGCACCCTAGGGA